AGAGAGAGAGAGAGAGAGAGAGAGAGAGAGAGAGAGAGAGAGAGAGAAAAACTTTCTGGCAAACTCCACACAGTTGGCCTTCAACTCATATGTTGCATGAAGGTGTTCATGCTGCGCTGACTAATCAGGATTACCCAGCAGAGCAGCGTTTGGACACGGCTGCGTCTAATCCGCTGTGAAAGGCAACGTGTTGCTCATTTCTCGGTGGGTTGCACTAACTATGCATCAGCTAGGTGGACATGCACGACGGGACTGCAGCCTGTAAGTGCAAAGATATACAATAGTGCAACACATACACTGGGATAATTCCCTCACGTGTGTTGTACGATGTTTTTTGACACAAAGTGCCTGGGAATTTGTCACAGCAGTTACCTGTGTAGGCGTACGGTGCATGTGGAATGAGTTGTCCATGAGGATGGATTTTGAGCTGTTCCATTGGAGCATGAGGCGATAATTCATTTGGGGATTTTAAAGAATTGCTTTTCATTTTCCATAATTTTCTGTTGGAAGAGTCTGAAATTCTAATGATTTTAATCCTCAAACTCATTAAAAGAGTTTGCACTGCAGAGGCTTAACTTTCAAGGAGCTTAGCTTTATACAGTACGGTACGCACACATGCATAAATGGTATAATATAAATCGGATTAAATCAAATGTACTTGATGACATTGTGCATTGTGTGTGTATAAGTTACTGCACCATCATGAACTTCAATAGATGCACATTGTGTGTCAATAATGGGGAATGGTAAATAAATCAATTGAATTCCAGCTTCCTTGGATATTTTACTCAGGACTTTTGCATCTAATCTTTGAGTTCAGAGCTGCCACTTCACAATGCAAGGTGTGAAACTGAGAACTTAAGAAACAAAGTCAAGCCTACTTAGCTGCAGGACATCATTGACATTAGTTTAATGTAGAGGAAATTATTCAGAAACATATGCATGCCTGTTGACCACAAGGGATCATTTCAGTTTATTGCAACTCCTTCTGGTCATCATTTCCATCGGTAATAATGACATGTACATGTACTCAAAGTTAATAAATGAGATTTGTGATATTGCCCAAAATAAATCGTAAAAAGGTCAAATGAAAATCGGTTGTAAACGTCCATCACAGTTTATAGACCAACCTCTTAATGAAGTTCAACTTTTCCTTACTTACCATACATTTCTTAGCTGATGTAAAACTTCAGGTGCAGTCACTTTAGTTTTTACTTCTAAAGAAAGTAGTTTAAATCTGAATGATCTTGAATATGCCATCAACACCTGGTTACATGTGTTACGGCCGACGTTCTTCTCAAGTGGAGCTTTTGGTTGGTGAGCTTCTCCACGCAGACTTTTATCTGATCTCTCTGCCACCTTGTGTCCCTGTCCTCCTTTCAGATCCTGGTCCACGTAGGCTTCCTAACCGAGGAGTCCGGAGATGTTTTCAGCCCCAAAGTGCTCAAGGGGGGTCCTCTGGGAGAGATGGTCCAATGGGCCGACATCCTCACTGCGCTCCACGTTTTGGGACACAACCTGAAGATCTCCATGTCCCTTAAGGAGCTGCAGGGGTGAGCTAACTGCGTTTGACTTGTCAGCGGTTGTTGTTGTTTTTTGCAGCTGATGGTGCGTGCGGTGTGTTCCCCCATTTCTTATGGACTCAATCAACCAGTGCTTTTCTTCTGAATCTAAACTGGTATTAAGAGAAGATTGCGTCAATATAGGGACAATCCAGACAAGGCAACGTGTTTGCTTTGAAAAGAGATTATTGATTGGCAGGGTCAAGGCTATAAGTAAACAGAATGGCCATTTCTAACATCTACATGTTTAACTAACTGTATATATTACTTTCAATAATCACGTCTGGTCACAGCTGTATTTCACATTTTCATTAGGATGCAAAATGTCTGCTGCAAAATTAATCTGATGACAGCTGTGACTATAAACCAATGGCGTTTTACAACCCTCCTGTTACCAATGTGCTCCTGTACGTACGCATATTGGAGTCGAAATGTTTAAGAGTGCATTGCACTCTAATTACATCACTTTCCCACTTCAGATTATGCACGAGGGCCCTAAGGTCCTGTTGATTTATTTGTTGCTGCATTGATCCCGTATCGACGCACTCCATAGCTTCCTGTCAGTGCGACTGCGTCGGCGTGTGTCTTTCTATCCCCTGCGTCAGCGTGCTTGCATGTTTCTGCTGACGGATACAGCTACAGAGCCAACACACACACACACACACACACACACACACACACACACAGACAGGTGGATGGATGGATGTAAATCAACCCTGTTGGGCGAGATCCCTCTGAGAAGACAACTGAATCACACTGCAGACGGGCGATGTCTTTGTTCAGCCTTGATTGGGCCAATAGTCTTCGTCTCTGCCATCGTTGATCACTGCAATGACACGGGTCTGGAGTATAGATCAATATAATGATGTCTACAGAGACACCGCTGTACTCTCCTTCCACTGTACACTGCCTGTGACAACACTCACAAATCACAGAAGAAGTATTGTATTGACCCCCCCAGCCTTCGGTAGTCATTTTATAGACGTATAACACCTCTGCAGGGAGCAGGAGAGAGCGTGAAAATCTAGAGGGATTTTATTATTTTTTTTAAATGGGTTTAGAAATGGCAGGGACATCCGCAAGGCCGAGCTCAGTTGCCAGACTTGAAATGGATGGCGGGACCGTTTTTAGGCCGTGCGTGTCACTGTGGTGTCTCGGGGCCTTCGTTTTTGAAACCGCTCTTTCTCACGACATGGGCGGCGACGTGTTTTTATGCGACTGTGAAGCGTAATCTAACATACCAGCACGATGAATTATTTCATCCACCTCGCCCACATGGAATGGCTTCGGGTAAGGAAAAATAGCTTTTGAGCTCTGGATTACTCGGAGAAGCAGTCTAATCTTTCTTCAAACTGCTTTCGGATCCTGACTCGGTCCTTAAAAAACACTGGTGTGAGAAAGGGCAACGTCAACTTTGCCTCCTGATGTCGATCTTTCCACATGGTTTGCTGCAGTAAAGTGGAACAGAAAAAGGGTTAGGCAGTGTGTTCAATCGTTTTTTTTTTTTTATGGTTGGCGTGTCAACTTTTTGGTCTCACACCTTTCATTTCCCTTGGTCCCTGCCTTCAGTAAGAGAAGAAAATGGAGTGTTACGGTTGAACAAAGGTGGTAATGCAGTTTGGCTGTCATGGAGTTATATTATAAAAATAAAAGTCTCTCCTTCGCCTTTCATGTTCCCCACAAATATGGGGTGTCTTTATTGATCTTTGGTTAATGTTTAGAAAACCTTACAGCCAACATTTCATCAATTCTGGGCCAGCAGATGCTACTACGACTGTTTTTTGTGGCGTACTGATCTGTAAGATACTCATTTGTTCTGTCATACTTTGTAGTTCAAATGCATATTTATCCAGCATATTTCCTGCCACAAAGCTACACACATGACTACAAAGTGATTCCTGATTTGAAAAGCATGAGTATAGATTTCCTTTTCATTTAGCATTTTAGTATTCTCTCAACACAAAACAATGTGATGCATTTGAATGTTGTTTCTCTCACACATTGACTTCGCGTGTGTATTCACATCAAGCAAATGTAACCATTCTATCAGCGTTCTATCGGTAAACGGACAAGGAAAGAGGAGCCTGTGGTGATAAAACCTTGAGTAGCTCACAATTAACTTTTCACACAAACTGTCCCTCTGATGCAAATCAACAAACGCATTATTTCCACACAGATGGCTGATGTTGATTTATTGTCCGCTGGTGTGATCGACAGAATGAGACATACTGACTGAAAAACAATATCTTATTATATTTGGTAGATAATTCCTTCAAAACACTCTTGGTGCGACTTAGAGGTATACTACAGTCCTATTTCAGTTCAGATTCCTGACCATACAATTCTGTCTCTTACAGCTCTCCTGTGTAATTTCAAAATAATTTCTTTCTCTACCTACTTCCTCTCACTTGTTCCCAGTATTGCCCATTTTTGTGGACATACTGCACTTCTTCCTTAGTTCCTCCTGTCCCAAATAATTTGCTTGCAACGACACACAAAGATGTGGCCTGACACACGGATAGAAACACAGACAAATGGCAATGACAATCTGGACAAGCAGGCCGACCGAGACAAATGGGAAACCAGGCACACAGACACAAATTGCCCAAAAGATGGAAGTTGAGTCCAGATACAGCTTTAGAAACATGTCATCGCTTTTCTTGGGGGCAAGACTGACCGGCATTAAAAACAAAACTGAACAAAAAGTTCCCAGGGTCCATCCACATCCACAATTCCACAACTTCCCAATGGTGTGTGTGTGCGTGTGTGTGTGTGTGTGTGCGTGTGCGCGCGCATGTTTGTTTGTGTCTGTGATACATTGTTCTCATGGCCACATCTGAGAGTTGGAGTTGTCTGAGGAGGAAGCGGGAGGTAGCTGTAATTGGCCACCGAGGGGATGATTTGGTCCGGGGTTGTGTTACTGTGTATAACGTACACCCTGATTTGTAGTTTCCAGTCAGTGCTGCTATGAGGTGGCTGGACCTTATTCAGTAGAGATGCATGATCAGAGCACACGGAGACTCGCTAACATACAGAGGGAAAAATGAACCAGAACATATGGACAAAAACAACTTCTATTGATTCAACTGGGAGGCGATATACTTATCTGTGTGAAGCCTCTACTACACTGAATTCTAATGTGTTATTTGTAGTGCTGGGCAACGACTAAAATATTTAATCTCGATTAATCGCATGGATTTTTTGCAATTAATCGCATTGTTATGGCAAAGTTCAATAATGAATTCAAAAGTAGTGTATTGCGCACTTTTATTTTAAAAGTACTGCTGTATGAACAAAAGGGCAATGACATTTGGTTCACGAGATGCAGGTAGCATGTTTTATACTTAATGTGAATATAATTCATACTTATTCTGAAAACCGGATGTTCGTCTGAAGAAACCGGATGTTGTTTCACGTTAATGTTTCCGCTAACTTTCAAAGTCCTTCGCTCGCTCCCGATCTGTGCCGTTTAAATGCGTTTACCGTGAATTTCAGCATATAGGTGCACTAAAATTACTGACTATAGGATGTTTGCTGGCTTTTATCCCACTGTTCTTGTCATCCTCTTGTTGTTATGTATATGTATTGTCTCTTGTCTTTCAATTAAAAAAAAAAAAGAAAAAAAAAATTATAATAAATTAAAAAAATGCGTTAACGTGCGATAAAATAATTGTCGGCGTTAATTAATGAATGCGTTAACGCGAAATTAACGCGTTAACTTGCCCAGTACTAGTTATTTGTGCTCTCTCGTGTGCCTGTATGTCATATTGATGTTGTGTCCTGCATGTCATATTTGGGAAATCATTCATTTATAATATCTCTTTTCTGTGATTCATCTCCGTCTCAGGGCTGTCACTGTGCGGGACGATGGACTGATGAGAAAATGTGAATAGAAAAGCAGGGAGTAGAACAGCAAAGCGCTGAGTTGGCATCTGTGCAGTTTGGGCGGGGACTTGTGTTATTCAAATATGCAAATAGCAGTTCTTTTTTTTGAAGGCTCCCTGATGATTTCCAGCCCTTTGTTTTGGATCTTGTACTGTCCTTCATTTTGCACCATTCACCTGCCCACACACACACACACACACTCACACAACAGCACACGAACCCAAATTAATTCAATACAGCTTTTTTGCATCTCCCCGTCTCTGCTGAGTGTGCACTCCTCACAATGTTGCCTAACCGAGCAGCTTGACGGGAATGAAGCTGAATTTGGTGCCAATTAGATTAGATTGGCAAGGCACCTGAAATGTATTAGTGTGAGAAGGAGGAATGACGGGGCTCTGTCTGCTCTCCATTACAGACTCAAGGGTGCAGATGGTCAGCAACTTTGTGCCTAATCCTATCACTACTGTGAAGAGAAATGCCGTGTAGCACACTCTGGACACGCCTTGTGGACTGTGACAGTATACTTTTAGAAATAAAGATGCTCACTAGAACCATTTTAGGGCTCATTGGCTTCGTCCTCAGAGGAGCACCCTTTTTGGTTTCTGGTGAAACCTTTTAAAAAGTTTCCACCCAGAACCCATGAAAAAAAAGATGTACCCTGCCACCCAGAACCCTCTCTGGAGGTTTTATCCAGAAGCTTTTCATCTTCAAAGTCTGCTAACCAGAATCCATCTGGGGGGTTCTACCAAGAACCCTTTTATATTCCAATGGTTTCATCTAAAACCCAGCCCGGGCGTTCTACAGAGAACCCTTATATATTTTAAGGGTTTCATCTAGAATCCACCCAGGGCGTTCTCCAGATAGGTGCTGTGTCTGTAACTTTCCGAAACCGGCGATCTGACATTAGTTACACGACTCTATGTGGCACTTTTCACGTGAACAACCAAGTGAAACTTTATGATTGCCTCCCAGAGAATGTGGACAGCCATCCCCATATCTATCCAGTATGGCGCCTACTCTTTCTCTATGACAATCTTCTTTACACTCCACTTTCCAGTGTAGCTATAACTATAAACACTTCCGACCAATGTAATTGGACAATACAT